TAATGTGATTAACACTATATAAAACCAGCAGTAATTCAAAACTCTTCTTCTATTAATGACCTAACTATAAAACTCAGCAACCCAAGACACATCGGCAAAGTGCTCCAGAGTGTTGTGGGGTAGCTGTGTACAGCAGACAAAAATAAATGACTCTATTTTAATGTATTTCCATTCTGTAGCAAAATTTCCCGTGTTGAATTTAGGAATCATGACTCTCTACTTCCCAACTTGCCACTAGGCATGGAAAATCTAGGCATGGAAAACGCAGCTATTCTCTGTGAGTAAAATGGTTTGGGTGCTCCTTATATTGTTATTTTTATTTTTTATTTTGCGTGTGGGTGCACATACCTCTGTGTGTGTGTGTGTGTGTGTGTGTGTGTGTGTGTGTGTGTGTGTCTGTGTGTGCATATGTATGTCTGCTATCAAGATGATTACCTTTTTCTATTGTTTTCCATTTTATTTTTTTGGGAAAAAATGAGCTATGAAATGCCTTCTGAAGGACTCTATTTTTTAGGATTGTCAATTCTTTCGATGGGACCCTCTCTCTAAGTATCCTGAAAATAATGAGGAGCAGTTAATTCATCCTTGGACAGTTGCCATTTTTACTATATCCTATCTGTAGTTTTTGTTTTTTCTGCAATGTCCAGGGACTGAAAGCTGTCATAATTTCTGGGTTAAAAGACGGCTGCCTGCTTCTGCCTCCCAAGCGCTAGGATTAAAGATGTGCACCACCATGCCTGGCCTGACCTTGTACTTTCTATATCCTAGGCTGGCCTCATACTCACAGCAATCCTCATGCCTCAGCCTCCCTGTTTCGAGTTTACATATGTGTGCCACTACACCTTTGTGGAATGTCTTTTTAATATAATTTTCTGGTTACAAATTATGTAATTATGCTAGACAGAGTTAGAAAATATGCAGAAAGTCTCAGTAGTATTTTATCAAAACTAGTAACAAAGAGGCATGCAGCATGAGGATTAATAAAATTATAAATATGTCTATTTTATAAGTACATTTCATGGCTCTAGCAAGACCTCAGATTAAGTTTGTTTTTTTTTTTTTTAATTTTCTTTTGTGGTGTTAGGAATCAAATCAGGGGCCTCCTACATGCTGGAAAAATGCTATGTCACTGAGATATGTCTTTCATTCCAAGAAAAAAAATTAAATTAATTAATTTATTTTTATAAAATTTTTTATTCATTATTCTGTAGTATTTAAGCATGGAGCTGTCTATGTCTAAGGTTTAAAATACATTAATCAAGGTATGAATTAAAATAAATACACATCTACTTCATAACGTGAACATACTCAGCATGTCCATTATTAGCCTGTCTCTCCCACTCTGGTCCCTGAAATAGCCTTGACTGTAGAATCGTGCTTCACCGCTGGCGGTGACTGCCCCCTAGTGG